AAAAAAAAGTTGGAAAATGTCTATAGGTACGATCCGAACCTGTGCCGCAGTCTACCACGGAATCTACCAAGCCTACCACAGAATCTACCACAACCATCACCCACACCGATGCTACCACAATGCAGAGCGTTACAGGGTATATGGTCCAAAATTGCGTCAAGCCAGCCTTTGATAATTTTTTTCTGCAGAAATCCAACTTCAACGGAGCAATCTTCTACTCTTAGCTCCATCCCGTTCGTCGGAGTAGCAGAACAGGAAGTAGCGGCACAGATAGCGTAAGTTCACCTAAATAAATGAAGAACCTGCGCTAAAATGATGTTTTAGAGAATCAAATGCGGAAACATCAGTGGATATGGATGTCCCTATCACAAGGTGAGAATAGATGTTCTCAGAATACAAAAATTTAAATCTCAAATCTAAATGTCCCTTCCAGAAACATCACAGACGCCATACCTACCATAATCACGGCCACAGTACCATCGAGCACATCCAAGACAGAAACAGGGAATCAAATCTTCGACAACATAACTGTTAGCGGAACCGATAAGTAATTTTTTTGTAATTCCCTAGCAAAAACTATTGAAGTTTGCAGCTGGGATAAAAGATACAAGAATGTTATGTTTAGGACAAAGCCCGAATTGCTCACGGAGTGGGAACGTTTGAGCGAATATACAGCCAAAGACCAGTGCGTTTTCTTCCGTCGAGAGAGTTTTGCATACTTTAAGTGATTTTAGCAAAGAACTTCAAACACCCGTTCTTTCATGGAGCACTGATACTGCACATAGGTAAAGTTCAGGTCCCTAAAAATGTTCTTTGACAGACTAAGAATTTTCCTAGCTTCAACAATGATAAGATTCAAAAGACGTCAACGGACGACAAAAAATCGAACAGAGAACAAGCGTAAGCTTGAATCCACGTAAGAACGTTTTCAAAATTCGAACATCGTTCCAGTGAAAATAAAGAAAGCGTCGGGTTACGCATGGACTCGCCTGAAAGAGACGTCTATACTGCTGTAACAATTGCGGATTAGCATGCAAATGCAAGAATATTGTAGATCATTCTCATCCTCAATCATTTTTCGTTCCATGAACATAATAATGTTCTAACGAGCAGTTTAGACGTTGTTTCAATAAAACGTCAGTTTATGTTTAGAAACTTTGCTTATGTACTTCGTGCGGATAACTCCCGTGTGAGCTTCTCTCAGAACGGAGAGCGCCAGAAACTCATATGTGGATAGCGCAAAGTGGGAGTGAAGTAACAGAGTAACCATAAATAATTCCACTTGAGAATCCTTGTGCATAATGTTCCATGTCCGGCTCTCGATAAATCTTGGC